TGCTCAGGGTGGCTCAGCGTGCTCAGGGTGGCTCAGCGTGCTCAGGGTGGCTCGGCGTGCTCAGGGTGGCTGGGTGCTCAGGGTGGCTCAGTGTGCTCAGGGTGGCTCAGCACGCTCAGGGTGGCTGCAGGGAGTGAGCGTGGGGAGAGAAATGGAGAAGGACCCAGAAATTAGTTCTTCATAGGAGTCTGCAGTGTGGAGCTGAGAAATGATGGCCAGGATACGGGCCTGATAACGTCACCCTCAGAGTCACTCCAACCTGTGGCTGTGAAAAAGCCTGGATCTCCACCGGCCGGCAGGGAGAACAGACCCTGCTGTGAGCAGCCAGAGGAATTGCCTGTTATTGATCAAAACCTACAATGAGCTCCTTAATGCTCTAAGTGCTATAATTTATTCATGCATCATGTGTGAAATTAAACATTAATTAAAAAAAGAAATCCATGCATAAGTAATATCTTGGACCTGAACAGAACACAAACATAAAACGTCTTAGAGTTTTCTAGAGAAACATAATCAGTAAGCTACATCCACGGGTGGATTAGCCAATAGGCAAGGTAAGCACGGTGCTTACCTTGCTTACCAGATCATCTGTAGTGAACAATTTCACATTTTTTCACCACATCAAAGATTCTGCTTCTAGGTATGGCTGGCATTTGTCTCTCCCAACCCCACACCACCTTCCTACAGAATCAAAGCCTCTTTTCAAATTTACAATCCCTGACACGGACGGATTACCTAGTAAGCAAGGTATGTACAGGCTGATTTGTGCTTACTTACTAATCTAGAGTGAACAGTTTCACGTGGGCGTCACCACATCATGAAAACCACGTGAAATTGTGCATTACAGATTAGTAAAAAAGCACAAATCAGCCCGTGCATACCTTGCTTACTGGGTAATCCGACCCTGGATATATATATCTATTTATAGTAGTGCCTGATTTACTCTGTATTCTAGTTACGACGAACTGCATTTACGACTGTCCTTTTTCTTGGTACATCTTCTTGTTAGTAATATGTACTACATATAATGTTGCAGCATGTAATTTGCTGATGTCATCATATCTGTAAGTGTATATGTAATGTTTCCAACACCCAAAGACAAGTAAAGATTGAATTTACAAAGATACCAATAATAAAAGGCAATAATAACGAAAACTTTAAAAAAAACCAAGGTGTTTGACTTATATCAGAACTGACTTATGACAGAGTCGTCGGAAAGGAACCCCGTCGTAAATCGGGGGCTGCCTGTATATATGTTGTTGTCAGGTGCTGTCGAGTCGATTCCAACTCATAGCGACCGGAGCGGAACTGCCCCACGGGATTTTCTAGGCTGTAATCTTTATGGAAGCAGATCACTAGGCTTTTCTCCTGCGGAGCCTCTGGGTCAGTTGCACCACCAACCTTTTTGCTAGCAGTCCAGAGCTTAACCACTGAGCCACCGGGGGGGGGGTGGCAAGGAGAGAGAGATTGATTTTTTTAAAAAAGGAATTCGCTTATGTAATTGTGGGTGCCGGGGCGGTTGGCAAGTCCAGAATCTGTATGTAAGGTGGCAAGCTGGAAATTCCTGCCGTCTTGCGTCCCCAAATCTGTAGGTCAGGTGACGGGAGAGTAAAGAATGGAGGATGTTAATAGTCTGGAGGCAGAGTACACCCTGGGAAACCTCCCTTTTTGCTCTTAAAGGCTTCAGCAGATGGGACGAGGCCCGCTCACATTACAGTGGCAGTCTGCTTCACTAAGGCCCCCTGATTTCATCACGTCACCCCCGTGCTCCATAACAGCACCTAGACTAGCGTTTGACCAAGCAGCTGGGCTCCATTGCCCCTCCGAGTTGGCACATGAGATTACCCATCACATAAGGTATCCTAACTGAACAGGCAAATCCTCAGGCAGACCCGAGAGAGGTCCAAAACATAGTTCACAAGGGTCATGGGCCCCCAAAGGCCCCCCCACCCAGCCTTCCGAGAAGGCCCTTCTGTTGAGAATTGCGGAGGGTCCTTTGAAGGCCAGCCCTGCTGGATACAAAGGAAGGCTGAAATGGGCATTCCGTTGTTCTCAGCGGTCTGGGAGAGAGGGCTCCTGTCTTTACAGGTCTGCTGTCAACTGGGCAGAGAGGCACTTTGGGGGGGTCCCCACTGCCTGTTAATGGTACCACTCTCTGCCCTGTTCCCTGCGTTCTCCCTCTCGTTGAACACCTGCTGGTCTCCAGAGGCCCGAGATCTGTGGCTTCTACCTCTTCAGTCCCCACTCCCCTCTCTTCTCTCAGCTACTGAGCTCGGCAGAAGGACTATTGCCCGAACCACTGAAGGAGCCTCCCTACCCCTAGGCTTGCCTCTCTCCTAGGCTTGCCTCTCTCCCAGGCTTGCCTCTCGCCCAGGCTTGCCTCTCCCCCAGGCTTGCCTCTCCCCCAGGCTTTCCTCTCCCCCAGGCTTGCTTCTCCCCCAGGCTTGCCTCTCTCCCAGGCTTTGCTTTCTAAGAAGTCCTTGGGTGATGCAAAGGGTTAAGCTTTTGGCTGCTAACTGAAAGGTCGGAGGTTCAAGTCCACCCAGAGGTGCCTTGGAAGAAAGGCCTGGTGATCTACTTCCAAAAAATCAGCCATTGAAAACCCTATGGAGCACAGTTCTACGCTGACATACATAGGGTCACCATGAGTCAGAGTCACCTTGGTGGCAACTGATTTGTTTTCTAAGAGCCAACATTACTGCAGGACCCACCACCCCATATTATCTGGGCTTCTTAGTTGGAGAAGAGACTCTTGTGATGGAACAGCTTTCCAGTCTCATCACCCACCTTTCCGCCTTATGCTACTGCAGAAAGGGACTCCATTTCCTAATATTGGGGAGGGCACCCCATTTCTCAGGCTTACGAAATCGAACTTAGCCACAAGTGTTTTGGGAGGCAGCAATAAG